CTCTCTCTCTCTCTCTCTCTCTCTCCCTCTCACTCTCTTTTCACTCTCCCTCTCTTTTCTCTCTCATTCTCCCTCTCTTTTCTCTCTCTCCCTCTCGATCTCTCGCTCTCTCTCTCCCTCTTGTTCTCTCTCTCCCTCTCTCTCCCTCTCACTCTCTTTTCACTCTCCCTCTCTTTTCTCTCTCTCCCTCTCGATCTATCGCTCTCTCTAACACTTGCTATTTATCTATCTCTCTTGTTCTCTCTCTCTCCCTCTCACTCTTCTCTTCTCTCTCTCTCTCTCTCTCTCTCTCTCTTACTCTCTCATATCTCTCTCTCCCTCTCCCTCTCTTTTCTCTCCCTCAATATCTCTCTTCCTATCTTTCTCTAACTCAAAGTCACAATCAACAAAATTGATCTACCCTAAACTAAAATAACACTTAATAAAAAAAAATTTAGATCTAACAAAATGATTACAACATTACATCTTTCCTTACTACCTAAATCATCTAAAATATCTCTAACACTTGCAAATGTGTAGTGAGAACAAATAATCAAAGAAAAACCATAAAAAATAACCTTAAAATAGAAATCGGACGGTTTGGGGTCGGATTAGGTCGGCGGTCGGACGTCGGAGTTTAACCGTCGGCGGTCAGAGAAGCTTCATCGGCGGCGACAAACGGAAGTCGATCGGAATGGATCGGATTGGGGTCGGCGGTCGGAGTAGATTCGTCGGCGGCGGTCGGACGAGCGGAGGCGAGCGTAGGCGACGACAGAGCGACTGAGAGAGAGAAGGAAAGAGTAAAAATGAAATGCGAGGCGCGGGTCTGGTCGTATTAGGGCTTCTACCGGCGGCTTTCCGGCGGTCTGGACCGCCGGTAAAAAAATCACTTCTCAACGGCGGTCCAAGCCGCCGATAAACCGCCGGTCCATATTGATGTCCGGCGGTTTAACGTCGGTTTAGGGTCCGCCGCTAGTACCGGCGGCTTAACGTAGCGAAATCATCGGTTAGGCCGCCGTTAAAAGCTGGCGGTCACACCGCCGGCTATGCCGCTGGTAACACCGGCGGTCCATGAACCGCCGGTTAGAACCGCCGGTAATGGGCATTTTTCCTGTAGTGTTTGTTAAGCGCGAGATAGAATTCGAAATATTTGTCTTTGATTTCAATTTCAATGAGTATATAACAAGATATAGACAAAAATATATTTCTTCTCAAGTATTACGATGTTTTCACTATGTAATATTTTGTAAATAATATAGTACTTTATTCTAATAGTTTGACTATTTTTTCACTGGTTATTTTTCTTCGTATTATTTCTATGCGTATTGAATAAATTAAGGAATTTCTGATATTTATGATAGTTCTCTAGATGATAGAGGAAGTGTTTCACCTTTTGACAAATTTGATTTTATAAAGTCAAGGATCAAGTTGGATGATTTATTGGTTCAACGATTGACCATTTCAACATGAAGTAGCTATGTAAGAGTGAATATCTAAGACAAATTTGAACCAAAGTACAAATCACCTTGTGCTTTATTCAACAATCTATACAAAATATTTCTTTCTTCAGACTCGATAATACTATTACCTTACTTATCTAAGGAACTATGATGGTTAGAGCTTATAAAAATCATCCTATATGTGTACTCTAAAATTTCTTGCATCTCATCAACCTCTTCGCGTGTTGTTAAGATCATTCACATCTCTTATGCTAAAATCTACATCATTATCAACTTAGCAAGTTTCCTGATGACCTATCTATTTGATGTATGAAGTTTGCATACCATTATTAGCAAATGACACTCTACGATATCATTAGTCTTAAGAAAACAAAAGCATGGTAATGACATGGAGACTAATGCTTAGTTTGGGACGGCTTTCTTACTGCTTCTTTAAACAACTTTTAATACAAAAATTAATATTTTTATATTATAAAGTTTCTTTAAGAAGCAGTAAAAAAATTGTCCCTAACGAACCTAAATCTTCTCCTTGTGAGGTTTAATTTTACAAGTAAATTTAACAAATTTATTAACAACATTTTTGCACTGATGTAAAAGTCTATCTTTAAGATTATCTAAATTTTATTCATTGCTTTACCCTAAAACTTGTAATAATTTCATGTAAATTTTCTATACTTCATATAATTTAGAAATTTAAGCTGAAATATTTCTAAATATAAAAATGAGTATCTTAAATATAAGCTGAAATATTTGTCATCAAATCTGAAATTATTTTAAAATAAACTTTAATCCTAAATAATTTAATTATAAATCTAAATTTATGTAAAAAGATAATCAATTCTATTTTAAATTAAAATAAATATGAAATTCTTAATTTATAAAACATAATTGTGATGAACTCTAAAATAATCATGAAGAATTACACGAAAGTAATATATACGGGTGTGAAAATGTGTCAACGGGTTTGAGTCTGATCTAAAATTGACCTGACTCGAATCTGACCTATTTAATTAACAGGTGAAAAAGCGAAACCAAACTCAACCCACTAGCGAGTCAAACCTTACCCAATACCCTATGTCAATTAAAAAAATAATTTTCTTAACTTGTTAACCATAGATTCTAGGTTAATGGATAAAAATGAGAAAATTATACC